CCGGAGACATGTCCAGGAGGAAACAGAGCAACCCCCGGCAGATCAAGCGTGAGTCAAACTTTGCCCGCCCGCCTCGACCCTCGTCGGCCCCCACTGGCCCGCCCCCACACGGCCGGCCGGCTGCGCTCGCGGCGCCCGCGACCTTCACCCCGCGCCGCGCCCCCCGCGCTGTGCGCCAAGCGCGCAGTAATCTAATCTCCGCCGGCCGGCCGGGCCCCCGCGTCTCGGCTCCGGCGCACCGGGGGTCCCGCCCGGAGGGGTGTCCGCCTAGGGGCCCGGGAGCGGGGCTGCTGGGGGCGCGGCCACCTTGCGTCCTGCCCCTCCCCCGCATCCCCGAGATGGTGCAGCGATAAGGCGGCCCCGATCTGGGCTCAGATAAAGTTTAAAATATTCCATTCTGCAAGTCCCATCCTGATAAGATCGCTCTGTCGGGACGGGCTGAAATTGTGATCTTATCTCGCAGCGCGGTTGACTCTCCCAGGCTTTGTATCTAGAGGGAGAAACAGAGAGAGACCTGGGAGGGAGAGGGGGCACCCGGGCCGCGTGGAAATGCATGACCAAGTGGCGGGGACCGGCCGGCGCCCACCACCTCTCCTGCTGGCCCAATCGCCGCCTGGCTGGGGGGTGGGGGCGGGGGCGGCCACCGCAGCCCGTGCGCTCGCTTCCAGCCGCTCAGATCCCCGCGTCCTGTCGCTGGGGTCTCAAACTCGAGCCTTCCCTGCCTGGGGACAGCCTCCTGGAGGTCCGACCTTACTCTCTGCCCCGGCCAAGGCCGCACGTGTAGCAGGCAGGCAACCCCCACCCCCTTATCAGAGGGGCTACTCCAAGTCGGGGAAGAGGGGCTTCCGGGGACTCGGCCCCAGGTCACGGTCGCCTCTGCGCGTGTCCCAAGTTTCTCGCCTATTCCGGCCCGCGGGCCACTCCCCAGGGGACCGCGCGGCCGCTGAGTTCATACTGCCAGTCCCCGGTGATAAAAGCGCTGCACACTCTGGGCCGCTCGGCTGCGCGAGAAGCGAGAGAGCGCGCATACAGGAAGCGCCGCTCCCCACCCCACACCAGTAACTTCGCGCCCCTCAGCCCGGGCCTGAGTACGGGGTTTCCTCCGGGGGTCGCATCTGCCAGGCAGGATGGGAAGCGAAGAGGGGAGGCCTCCAGCCCTCTGCCAGCCCCAGGCACTCGGGCTGGCCACACGACCACTGCCACCAGGATCCCATGTGCACGCGCCTGGGGGGGAGTGTCTACCCCACTAGGTCCTAGACAGGGGGAACGCAAGCATGAGTCTGGGTTCCGGGAACCCACTCCCCCAATGTGCAAGCAGGACCTGTTTTCCGAAAGCCGCCTTTATCAAGTCAACTTAAGTATTAAAACCACCTACAGGTCCTGATCTGCGCTCGTTCTCTGGTTTCTTTTTCCCCTCCTCCCCTGGGCGCCTCTGTTTGGTCTGTTCTCGTGTGTGCGTGTGTATGTGTTTCAGCGTGATGAGAAATATAGATAGCGCGGGCAGGGAGATCTTAGGCTGGGAACCGATCGACAGCGCCGATAAGGCCTCGAGCAGGGCGAGCGCCCTGGCTCAGATGGGTTGGCCGAGCGGTGCGCCTTGGGACAGGGACCGCATAGGGCACGCAGACGAGCCCCCGCTACTGACCCTCGCGCGGCCAGGATCCGGGCAGGGACCAGGGCGGCAGGAGGCACCGAGCACCCTCCCTGCCCCCCCCATCCCCGGCGCCTCCTCCCTCTGGCAGATCTTGGCGCGTTAAGATGCGAACTCTGATTGTCACCAAGCGGCGGCGCCCGCCCGCCCTCCCTCTGCCCGCGGCGGTGCGTGCGGCCCTCGCAGCTGTGCGCCCGCCGCGCTAGCCTCACCTGCGACCAGGCCGCGGGTGTGGAGGGGAGGGGGCCGGGCGCTTGGGGCCACCGCCCCCTGCGCCCTCACCAGAGCCGGGGCGCAGCTGCCCGCGCCTCTGTGCGCCTTTTGTTCCACGCAGAGATAGATGTGCCGTGCTGATAAGGCGCGCAACCGATGGTGGAGGCGATAGGCGCTTCCATTTATTAACTTCAAACGTGGGAGCGGGGGAGGGCGAGGCAGGAGCGCGGCCTTGGCCGGCCAGATGGCCAAGACGATAGGCGGGGCCGAGCTGGCTGGGAGCGCGGGGCAGAGCCCAGCTCGGGACCCCCGGCCATCCGAGCTTTCCTCCTGCCCGGGTCGATGTGAGCTGCGATAAGCGCAGGGCCGGGCGGCCGGATGGCGATCGCCAAGAGCGATAAGAGGCCTTATCTATGGCCACCAGGCCCGCCGGGTTAGAAGCAACAACAGCGCGGGGGAGTTGCGGCTGGGGGAGTGGGGCCCTCGGACCTGGGCCAGGGCGGGGGCAGGGGGAGCGGGCGTCTGCGCTGGGTCGTCTAGGCGAGTTTTCTTCCCAAACATACTTAATTGCCAAGAAGTTGATCCTCCCCTGCGGGTGGTACAGTCCATCAAAATGAAAGGAAAGTGACTCCGCGCTGGCCCAGAGCTCCGGGGCGAGGGGAGGGGACGCCCGTCCGATTCCTACGAGATGGTGTGAGATAGCCCGAGGTGGGGTTTGTCACCTCCCGGAGAGAGCGTGTTTTCCCCCTTGAATGGTGCTGGGTTTGGTGTGCGTTCCTGGCAAGTTTTAGGTGTAGCCTGCTTGGAGTTTTGTTGAAAAAAATCAAGGTGGTTTCCGTTTCCAGGGCTGAGTTTGTGGGGAGAGGGAGGAAGCCAGTGTGCCGATGGTCTTTCCAAGCAGGTCCCCCAGATCAGGTTGGGAGACCTGCCTTGATTCACTCAGCAAGTCTTTATTGAGCACTTGCTGTATACATGCACTGGGTCCCAGCCCTGTCTTAGGTGGGGGGTAATAGGTGGAAGTCCAGTCAGGGACACGTCCCGGAAGGGGGAACTTGCATCGAGGTGAGCAGTAGGCCCGCCGTGGAGATACCTCCAGGGACCGTGGGCCAGCCTCAGTTTCCAACTCTGAAAAATGGGATGATGATTCCTGGTGGTTGTCGGGGGTGTGAAGGGCTCAGAGGCAAGGGAGGCTAGGGAAGGGATGCCTGTGTGAGGTGAGGAGGGTGGGCCAGGCTGACGGGAATCAGCCCCCACGTCAGACTGGTGATGTCAAGGGCGCCCCTTGGCAGGGGGAAGCCCCTCAGGGACCATGGGCCTAGATACCTAGTGGAAACCCAGGCCAGCTGGGTGGGGGCTTCCAGCAGAAGCTGGGGACTTGTCCCACGCATCCCCCTCCGGCAGCCACTCCATCTCTTGGGAGGGTGCTGTTCACACATTCTCCGAGTTTGATTAAACAAATTATTGGTGGCCACAGGATGACTAATTCACTCCGTGCTTCAGACTCACCCTGTGCTCTCTCCAGCGGTTCGGCATCCGCCGGTGAGGCTGCCAGGGCCTTCTGGTGAGGGCCAGTGCCCGAGAGCTGGGTGAGGCCCAGGACGGGGAAGAGGTTTTCAGGAACGTCAGAGGGATTGTCTGCCCAGAGCAGAGCCGGGCACAGTCTCCTCCCAAGTACGGGAGGCATGTGGGAGTTGGCATGGCCCCCCGGGGCCCCCTCACCATGCCGTACCTCGCTGGGATGGCAGAGGGGTGAAGAGAGAGGGGGATCTGGCCACCTGGCTGATCCTGATGCAGAGCCACCGTGGGCATTTCACTTGCCTTCCTTGGCCTCAGTTTCCCCTCTGTGAAAGACAGGTGTGGCAGTGCTTGCTACCCCAGGGTCAGCAGGGACGTAAGTCCTGCCCTGCTCTGCTGGCCTTGCCCCCGCCCCAGAGCCCCGGGGACATGGGGACCGATCTATGGTGAGCCCAGGGGATGAAGAGCTGAGAGGCCCCCAGCTCTGACCCTGGACTTGAACGGGCCAGGCGGACCCTGGAGCCCAGCTGTCGCCCCTGAGGCTGGCTTCCACCCTGGCTCTAGATGGTTCTTGCTTTTCCTGCACTCCTGGGCCTCAGGAAAAACAAGGAGCTCATCCATGCCCTGGACAGTAATAATATTAACAACAGCTAATACTTCCAGAGATTACTCTGTGCCAGGCCACATACTGACTTAAAATAGGCCCTATTCTTATCATCTTTACATCTGGGGAAACCGAGCACGGATTGCTTAAGCTGCTCCCCCAGAGAAGTGGCAGAGCCAGAAGCGGAACGCAGGCAGCCCGGCCCCGCGCCCTGAACCAGCCGGCCTGTGACCATCACTCCGCCTTCCTCTTGTCTGCCTGCCCCCAGGCTTATCGGCCTTCAGTCTCCACATCTGTGAAATGGGCCTTTGGGAGAGGAGATACTGTGGGGTCCTTCTCCAGCCCAGCCCTTTTGCCGAGTCTCCCAGAGCCTCCTTGCCGAGCCGCTGCTGCGCAGGGGTGCTCCCCGGGGAGACTGAAGCCAGCCCTGCCCGGGGACCTGAGCCCTGGCCGAGCCCTGCCTGCCCAGCCAGCCCCTCCCTGGAGGTCACTGGGAGCCCAGCATGGCACCAGCCCCGCCAGGGATTTAAATGGGTCAGTTGGGGAAGAAAGGAGGAGGGAATGTGATGCCATTAATTGTACCCCTTATCTCCTGTTTCTATGCCAACCAGACGTTCCTGGGGCTTGACGGACTCGTGAATAATACTCCCAGTCGGCCTATCTGCCATCGACGGGCCTCCTCCTGGAGGCAGCTGTTGCCCGCTGATTGGTATCACCAAGCCCAGGGACCTTGGGCGCCCACCCAGCCACCATACCCCTGGAGCTGCCCCAGGGTCCCTGTTCCCATTTCACAGAGGGGGAAACTGAGGCCACAGCCATGTATTTACTCTCTGGGCCTTGTCTACTGCTCCCCGCTCAGCAGGAGTGGCCTGGGGTGAAGGGGGATCCGGAAGTGGGCGCAATAACACCTGCAGAGGGAGTTGGTCTCCACATGTACCTCCTGGCCCCCTGTGGGCCTCAGTGTCCTCAGCAGTGGCAGGAGGAGACAGATGCCCATAGGTGACGGCTCTGCTACCATGAAGTTGCACTTCGTGGGTTCTTATGAGAAAAGGAGCTCATGGGGGC